CCGCAAAAACGGCTCACGTAACGAACCGCGAGGCCAGGGCGTGGCGTCGGCTCCCCATGCCCTCGCCGAGAAAAAAAACAATACTCTAGGGAGTCAAGTTTTTGTTTGGGGAGGGGGACACGCTCCACTAATCCCCACACTAAGAGCTTCACCACAAGCACCCTCTCTACCTCAAGACCCCAAACAACCTGGATCGCCTGGCTCCAGGAAGCTTGCCAAGACGTCAACGCTCAGAAGCGTGTTTCTCTCTGCCGCCTCGACTGCAATACGTTCCGAGCTATCGAAAGCAGATAATCGAGGGCAAGTAGTGAATAGTGAGTAGTAAGTAGCATGTAGTAAGTAGTAAGTAAGCAGCAAGTCAGTTTAAGTGGTAAGTAGAAAGTAGTAGCAGTAGTAGTAACAGTAAAAACAATAGTCATACAAAAGAACAGTACTAGATAGTAATAGTAGGTAGTAGAAAGTAGAAAGTAGAAAGTTGTAAGCAGTAAGTAGTAAGTAGTAGGTAGTAATAAGCAGTAAGCACTATGGGCAGTATGTGTAAGCAAGCAGTCAGCTGTACATAGTAAGTAGTAGGTAGTACGTAGTAGTAGTAGTAGTAGTAGCAGTAGCAGCAGCAGCAGTAGTAGTAGCAGCAGCAGTAGTAGTAGTAGAAGTTCTTGTCGTAGTCGTCGTAGTAGTCGTAGTAGCAGTAGTAGTAGTAGTAGTAGTAGCAGCAGCAGCAGCAGTAGTAGTAGTAGTAGTAGTAATAGTAGCAGCAGCAGCAGCAGGAGTAGTAGGTGTAGCAGCACTGGTAGCACGTGCAGTAGTAGTAGCGGCAGTGGTACTGGCAGAAGGAGGAACAGCAGCGGCAGCAGCAGCAGCATGAACATGTTGATGAGGTTGATGACTATGCTCACTACCATGGGTGTCATTGTCAAACTCAGTTGTACTATTGCGCTTGTCGGTGTGATTGATTTGTTTCGTTTTCGTCTACGTGATTGCCATTTAAGGACTGCTAAGGATACAGTCGGATACAGTCAGTCGGATTGCAATCTCAGAAACGTTTGTCCAAGATTCCTCACCCCGGATCCCGTGAATCCCGAAACGCTATAGAAAGGGTTTCAAGGTGAGCCCTCAGGTGCATAGGCTATTTTGGGTGTTTTCGGTGTCAGCTGAATGGGAGCAGAGCCACAATTGCATGCGAAAGCTTCCTTCACTTCCTTCGATAAGCAGCACCGGGTGTCTTCTTGGCTGCGAAGACACAAAGCCGGGGCTAGCCCTCGTCAACCGAGTTGGGAATTATGTGTTTCAAGCTGAGTGCAGTTCGTTTTCTTTGAGTTTGCTAAACAAGTGGCTCGGATGACACCCTGATCTCTAAATCAATGTCTGGAATAATTGTGGTTTCTTTCAGTGTCATGCCGGGGTCCCACGTGTATTCATCCTTGCTATACGTATCTATACGATTGTGTTCCAGCGGCTCAAAATGTCCTTTCCAAACCTTCCACCTTTAAATCTCAGCCCCAAACTTCAAGTTTTCTCGTGGTCAATCTCAGGCACATCTCCATTCTGGCGAGGTTCTACAGGTACCTCGGCAATCTCATAATTGATACCATGTGCACTTTTAGTCATATCATATGTGTTTGTATATATATATATATATATATATGTATACACATATTATGTGTGTTGTTACACTGCACGGGTATGGTTTTGACGAGCCTTCAAGACTTGCACCTGCGCTGCATCCTGAGAAGATGATTAGAAGCTGTTGTGTGAAGCCCCAAACCTATACCCAAAGCCTGTCAATTCGGAACCGTCTCTCCTTAGATCCACGGAGGCTTGCGAAGTTAAAACCCAAGGCTTTGTAGAAGCTGGGATGTATTGCTGCAAGTGTACTCAGTACTGGGCGACTGTAGAAAGCTGGCTGGAATCGAAGTTCAGTAGTTTTAGTGTCCGCAGGCTGTTTCGTTGAGTGTAAGGGAACCTAATTGTGTCGTTGATTATGAGTCGCTTCGGTCGAACAGTATCGAAAGTGCACATTTCATCAGGGTGGTTGCTTCCTAGCATTGGTCATGCAGGGTAATGGCTGAAGTCATATTTTTCGTGCTTCACCCACCGTGCTCCGAGGACTGGACAGTTGCTTCCCGTACGGCCACTGACACGTGAAGCAGCTGTGACGATGGATTCTTACAATATGTCCAAACTCGTGAAGAGTCCGGGGTCTAACTAATGACTAATGCCCGTACGATCATAGCTCCTGCTGTCACCGAACAAACGTTTGATACACTTGCACAACTTGTCGTCATACTGGCTTATGCTAATGCTGCTGGTGATACCTGTGCTGCTGCCACCTCTCGCTCCGCTACTCTGAATTGTGCCCGCTCTGAATATCGTGACGACGCCGGATGACGCCGGCCACTCGCACGCAGACTGCCACTACCACTTCTAGCACTGTAAGCGTTGCCACTACGCAAAGTATTTCTCATGACGAAATAGGACTACTGCTACTACGCCTGCTGCTACCTCTACGCTACAACTGGTACTTTTACTGTTTTGACAACTTCTACTACTTCTACTACTATTGCTGCGACTACTTCCAGCACTACTTCTACTATCACCAGTTCTCATTCTACGACGACGACAACTACTACCACTACTAGTACGAGTACTGGTACTACTACTAGTACTGCACTTCTACTACTACTACTACTACTACTACTACTACTACTACTACTACTACTACTACTACTACTACTACTACTACTACTACTACTACACTACTTCCACTACTACTACTACTACTACTACTACTACTACTACTACTACTACTACTACTACTACTACTACTACTTCTACCACTACTACCACTACTACCACTACTGCTACTACTACTACTACTACCACTACCGCCTCTCTATTATTACTACTACTACTACTACTACTACAGTACTACTACCACTACTACTACTATTACGTACGAGTTTCTACTTACGAATTACTACCTGCTAGTTACTACTTACTACTACCACTACTACTATTACTACTACTACTACTACTACTACTACTACTACTACTACTACTACTACTACTACTACTACTACTATTGACCTTTTACTACTACTGCTACAACTACCACTCCTGCTACTACTACTACCACTATCCCTACTACTACTACTACTACTACTACTACTACTACTACTCCTACTACTACCACTACTACTACTGCTACTACTACTACTACTACGACTACTGCTACTACTACTACTACTCCTCTACCTTTACCTCTACCGCTACCCCTACCTCTACCTCTACGTCTAGTAGTAGCAGTAGTAGTAGTAGTAGTAGAAGTAGTAGTACTACTACTACTACTGCTACTACTACTACTTCTACTACTACTACGGCTACTGCTACTACTACTACTACTGCTACTACTACTCTACCTTTACCTCTACCGCTACCCCTACCTCTACCTCTACGTCTAGTAGTAGCAGTAGTAGTAGTAGTAACACTACTACTACTACTCCTACTCCTACTACTGCTACTATTTAGTAGTAGGTACTACAACAACCACTACACCCACTCCTACTCTTACTCTTACTCCGGCTCCTCTTCCTACTCCTCCTACTCCTACTCCCACTCTGACAACCACTCCCGCTCCTACTCCTACCCGTACTCCTACTCCTACCACCACCACCACCACGACCACCACCACTACCACTACTACTACGACGACTACTACGACTACTACGACTACTACTGCTGATACTACAACTGTTGCTATGTCTGCTACCAGCACAAATCCGTCTACGACGACTACTCCTACTCTACTACTGCCACTGCCACTATCAGTTGCAACTTACCACTTATCACTACTAGTATCACTGCCACTTACCACCTACCACTACCGCTACCACTACGATCTGCTGCTGCTGCTGCTGCTGCTAGTGTTCCTTCTCTTGGTCCTGCTGCCGCCGCCGCTGCTGCTGTTGTTCCAGCTACTGCTACTGCTGCTGCTGCTGCTACGGCTACGACGACGATTGCTGCTGCTGCTGCCGCTGTTGCTCTTGCTGTTAAGTAAAGAATTGCAATATTGCGGCGATACCCACCGGTAGCATCCAGCCCTCAATCCTTAAACCGTAATGAGACACAGTACACCAGAAGTCACACATCGTCAAAGTATTGGCACGTACCACCCATGGGATCTCTCGCGCTTTGATTAGCTGGAGCCGCAGCTGGAACGAAGCTTGAGGTTGAATTGCGATTTTACAACTTGAAATGCTAGCGCTAGCAAAGGTCTAAGATGCACTCTAGAGTATCTTGGATCCTGTTCTAGTTCGATTACAGCTAGAAGCTTTTGGTTTCGAGCAGTTCAGTCCTGAGGGGCTAGAGGCTTTGGATAGTTGTAATGTAGACAGTCCTAAGGTCCCAAACACCTGATCAGTAAACTTCTTGCATCTAGACAAATAGCCCCACGATCCAGTACAATGTTAAGTGAAGGAGGGAGCTGCGGCGTCCTGGTAAGGGCCACGAAGCCATTGTGTGAAGTATTTAGATTGAGAGTGCTGATACTCGAGGTTTTGGCCGGGTAGGTGCCATACGGAAATTAGAAAGCGGCAGTAACACTGTTATCCATGAAGTTTTATATGCCTACACATCCATGCACTGTCCTGTAAGTCCTACACCCTAAAAGGTTCCACGTAAACAAGTTCAATCCGGAGTCCTTAAGCTGCAACTTCGAACCAGCTTCGTGCATCATTTGAGGGTTGCGAGTCTACTGTCGAAGTTCGAGTTGCAGAACGACATACGTCAGCCGATTTAATAGTGAAGTTTTGGAGTCAGGGTTTGGGCCAAGCCCAATCAATATGTGCAGTAGGGCATGCACAACATGAGCCCGCAAGAGCCCACAAGCAGCGACAACTGCGCATCTGCTGGTTGCCAGGATAGGTTGAGGTCCGGACTTTCTAGAATTCAGAACCTGTAACTGAATTGAGTTTAGGCTTGGTGGATCAGCCTGTCCTGGT